AAAATGGCACGTGTGTTGGGGGGGGGGGGCCTGGAAGCTGCACCTCCCAGAGACGGCCACCCCGACATACCTGCTGTGCTTCTCCTAAGAAGGGACCCTGACATGCCCCCACCAAGGGGTGGGCCCACACAGGCCTCCGGAAGTGCCGTAACCAACAGGGCAGAGGCGAGGCTGTATGACTTCTAAGGCTACGTCACAAAAGCACCACGGACTTCACGCTAAGAAGCCGGGAAGACCCCAGCACCTGGAGACAGCAGAATCTTCCTTCCCTGGGAACCCGCCGGCACCCCGGAAGGCCCACCCTGCTATTACCGCCTCGGCGCCCAGGCTCTCAGCCGACCTCAGCACCTCAGTGACGGCGGAGCCTCGCACCCGGGTGAACCCCCAGTCGGCAGCAGGCTGTGCCAGGCCGGGGAGGGTCTGACTGGGGGCAGGGGCCTCAGAGGCGCTCCCCAGGGAGGGTGGGGAGGGGCCGCCGTCAGCTAGGCGCTGCCCCAGCCACACCTGCCGGCGCTGACCCTGCCCAGGTGACGTCCCTGCCGGGCAGCTCAGCTCTGCAGCACGCTGTCACCAGTGGGCTGACAAAGATCTTTCATGGTCCCTTAACCCTTTCAAGGAGAGACTGGTCCCTTCTCACAGGCAAACTAAAGCCTCCGCAAGAGACCCCGGGGCTCCCATGGCCAGGTGGTGGCATGGCTGGGGCTGGGAGCCCGGGCCAGACTTCTATTTCCCCTCTGTGACCAAGAGATGCCCGAGGCCGGCCAGCCCCTCCCCACAAGGGAACAAGGAAGCTTCTACCTTGGCCACTGGGGGGGGGGCCTCCCCTGCCTCCACCCTCCCTCCAGGCTCTGGCCTGCCTGCTGCCTGCAGCGAGGGACCGTTCTTTCCGCCACAGCCCGCCGCTCTGGTGGTGACAGGCCACGAGGGCCCAGGGATGGTCCCGGCTGCAGCTGTGAGGACAACGGGCAAGCCACCTTCCAGGGGCAGCCTCGTTTCCGGGAGGAAGAAGCGAGGGGCAGCCTCGCCCGCGGGCCTGCAGCACAGGGTCCCGGACACGACCTTCTGCTCCCCTGGGAGGTAGGCACCTCCCAGGGCAGGGAGCTCAGCCAAGGTCTCAAGGGGCGCCTTCCTGTTACTGACCCTTAGCTCCACCTGAAGTCACCACGGTGCCCCCAGGGATCCCCAGAGCCCATTGTCTGAGGTTCCCCATTTCTGACAGCCCCACAGGACCAAGAAATGGGCTCAGAGAGGGGACCTGAGACCAGAAGGGACGGGAGAGGTTGTGGCTCGGAGAGCTGGCTCTGCCCAGGCTGGCGATGGCCCTGCCGTATGTGCTCGGTGGCCGAGGGTACGTCGTCAGTGGGAACAGGAAGTAGGACTCACCCTTGTGGGCCAGACTCCCAGGAGAGGACAGCCAGAGAGGAGGGGTCGGCCGGCAGTGCCGGCACCGGCTTTGGCACAGCTTTGGCAAGGGGCAGCACGCGGGCCTGGGGACAGAACGCTCCACCGCCCGTCACCCACCGACCCACGGTGGGAAGGGGCAGCAGCTCCTAGACACGACTTAACTGTGTGGCTCGTGGATCCTGCTTCTTCCCGCCCACGCCCAGTTAAAGCCTGAGCCCCCACTGGGACGCACAGTCCCTCCCTTCCTTCCCTCTGCTCTACTGACAGGGCCGCTGGCCCGGAGGCTGCCAGGCACCAACACCTGCCCCAGCATCCCTGACACCCTGTCCCCTGGAGCCCTGGGAGGTCTGGGGTCACCTAGGGCCTGGCCCATCTGGGACCAACGTCAGGAAGGGGCCTGAGGCTCGGAAGCCAGAGACCACCCGCCTCCAAATCAGGGGCCAGGAGAAGAAGCCCCAAGGAGGCCAAGAGCTAGCCCCGTGGAAAGTGGGCCGTGTCCCAGCCCCCTCCACTCCCTGTGGGAGGGACCCGCCCGCCGACCTGGCTCCTGCAAGTGCGCTGCTCACCTCCCCCGGGAGGGGCCAGGGCCCCGGGCCGCATGGGCCCCAGCAGCGTGGTCTCCCCCATCGGGAAGTGGGGGACAGGGTCCTGACTTGTGAGCACGTTCCTGGGACCAGGGTGCCCGGGCTGGCACGGCTCCCTTCGCGGGTGCAGGGCTCCGGCCCTGCGCCTCTCACTGGAAAGGGCCGTCTGAGCCGGAAGGCCTAGCGCGGCCATCCCTGGGGCGGTGAGGCTCCTGACACAGCCAGACGCAGCTCTCTGTGGGTGGGTGTCCCCAGAGCTCTCCCTCTGAACCCTAGTCTCCCCGTGGGGAACAGAAGGGGGAGGCCACCAGCCCGGGCCTCCAGACTGTGAGGGAGAGTGTCTGGGGCAGGGGTGTCTCAGGCTAGCCCTACAAGGCAGCCCTGCTCTCATACTCCACAACTCCGGCAGCCTGATGACAGCCAACCAGCACTTCCCACGGGAGGGGATGTGAGGCCCAGGGAAGGCCTGGGCCCGCCACAGGCCTGCCAACACTTGGTGGCAGGAGGATGGAGCCCAGGCTGGGAAAGCACGCAGAGTCCAGGCCCAGGAGGCCAGGGGTCAGGACAGAGGACAGCTGAGTCCAAGCCCGGGGACTTAGCTGTGCTAAGGTCATCTGTGAGCAGGGAGGAGCCGGACTGAGCAGGGCCGTCAGGGGCATGGCACTGGAAGGGCACAACGGGTCAGGGCGAGGCAGCGCAGGGCGGAGCTGGGCTAAGGGCGGAGCTGAGTGCGGCTGGGCGGGGCTGCATTAGGCAAGGCAGAGTGGGGGGGAACTGAGAGGTGCTGAGAGGGGCAGGGGGCGGGGCGGGGCGGGGGCGGGGAGGGGCGGGGCGGGGGGGGGCTGGAGCCGGAGGGGGGGGGCGGGGCCACCCCTTCCCAGGGCCAAGCACTTCCCCTGGAGAAGCGGAAGCAGCAGAGCTGGATGAAAGCAAGGGATACAGGGACACTGCTTACAGCTTTCTGGGCCAGCGGTCTGGGCACAGGGACCCTGCGTGGGGCCGGCGGGGAAAGGACACGGGTGATGGCACTGCGTCTGTGGGGCTCCAGGCCCCCTTCCCAGCCCTGCACAGCCACCTGGCCAAAAAGCAGGTCCAGGGCTGGGCAAGCAGGCAGAGACCCTCCTGGACAGCAAGCTGAAGGGCAGCAGCTGATGACCCTGGTGGACAGGAGCAACTTCCCACATGGGAGCCACTAGAGGATGACAGGCTGCTTACGGGGGTCCTTACCCGGCCCGGAGGAGGGCGGCCCAGACATGGGTGTAGGACACAGGCCTCTATCACTAGGGGGAGTGGCCCCTGTGATTGGGGGGGCTGACCACTTGTCTGGGTTCATTCAACACATCTGTCGAGCAAGCTGCTGAGGGCCCTGGGGATTGGGCCGGACACCTGACAGGTGAGGCCCCTGTTCTGCTGGACAATAACAGGCTAGCAACCAAGGCAAAGGGGAGACCGTGGGGGGCAGGTTGTGGGGGTGGCAAGAGCCTGCTCAGCTCCACAGGGAAGCTGCCAGCAACTCAAGTGTGAGCCACCCCTGTGTCTCCTGAGGCTGCTCCCCACAACCCGCCCACACCACGGTCCGCTGTCCTCTCCAGCTCTGGACAGACAACCCCCATCACCCTGAGCAGCTAGGCTCCAGGCTGGCCCCGTGGGGGCCGGGGGACACCCGTCTGTCCCTGGGACTCCAGCCTGGCCTCTGCCCCTGGCTCACTCATCACATGGAGAAGCTGTCACTGGGACCAGCTGCAGCACTGGGGGAGGGAGAGGGGACGTCGCAGGTGCACTGGCACGCGGCCTTGGGAGCACCATGGCAAGCCCCTGGCTGCTCCCACGCCACCCTCGTGGGGCAGAGGAGGGAACTGAGGCTCAGCACACAGCTGGCCACAGTCCATGCAGTCCCCCGCTGACCCCCGTCAGGCTCCGAGGCCCACAGACAGGACTGACTGGATTCAGGCCCCAGGTTGGCCCGCAGCCCCAGGCCCCTCCAGCTCGGCTGCCCCGCACGGGCCTCCACGTGGGGCCCATCACCCCTGGTGAAGCCCACCCCTCCACCTATGCTCACCACACAGAGAACCACAGCAAGGCATGAGGAACCCCACAGCCCACCTCAGAGGTGGGCCTCGACCTACTCAGGGGCTCCTGGCCCCACCCTTGTCCTCACGCCCCGGGCCATGCACTCGGTCGGCAGGGTCCGCTCCCTGGGCACCAGGATGAGGCCCCATCATGGAGAGCAGCACCCTCCCGCCTGGCCCCTGCCCCTGCCCTCACCGCCCATGGTGACAGCAGGGCTGCGGGCCCTTCCTGCAGGACCTCAGTTCTTGAGCCAGAGACAACAGCAGATCCCCCTCTAGGGACCCCAGCCCCCCATGTCTTTAAGGGTGACCATGCTTGGACCCCCTTGTCAGCCTCTGGTGGAAAGTCGGTCCTGTTGTGCCAACAGAGAGGCGTGGGCATGCACGTGTTTGGTCCTTATCTGGTGTCTCAGGGAGAGCAGAGGCCTGTCTCCGGTGCTGCCTCCTGCCAGGGCCCCGAACAGGTGCACCTTCCCCTTGGGGGAGCAGGACAGGGTGAGGGGGTGGGGGCTTCACCGAGGCAGCGGCTGCAGTGGGGGGGACCCCGGAAGTAAGGGGCCGAACCCCACCTCTCTGAGGGGGCATCCACCTCCTTCAGGGTGGGACACGAGACACGGCAACAGGTCCTGAGCTGGTGACTCAGTTGACCATCTTGCCCAGGTCCCTGTTTCTCTAGACAAAGCTGCTTTCAGAGGACGTTTGTCCAGAACCCCAGCCCCTGCAAGAGGCTCCCCCTCCCCCTGCAGATGAGCAGAGGGAGGCCGAGGGGAGAAGGGGGAGGCGGGGCTCACAGGGCTTCAAGCCCCCCACTGGCAGGGCCAGCAGCCCTCCTGCATTCCCGATGCACCTCCGGTGTCCAGGGACAGGGGCCACCGGTGCGGGGACTCACACGGTCACGCCCCCGCTTGCACACACGGGCACACTCGCCAGGCCAGGGCCTCACCTCAATCTGCAGGATGGCCTCCTCGCGCAGCCGGATGGCCTCCTCGTCCTCCTCGGTGATCTCGGGAAGCAGCGCCTGCTCCTGGCCCTGCCACATGCTGTCACCCCCGTTAAAGATCTTCTCATCATCGGGCAGCTCAGCAAAAGGGGCCCGGGGACTCTGCTGGCAACAGAGACAGGCCGGTTAGCCTGGGTGCAGCCCAGGAAACGGCCTTGTCCCGGGCCGGCAGCGGCAGCTCCACGTCGGGGCTAAGTGCTCGGCTCTGGACACCAGGAGCCTCCGGGGCTGCGCACGCCCCCCCCCGCACACTCCTGGGAGGGGAGAGGCCCCACAGCCCGGGTTCTGCAGCCCTGACGGGGCCTCTGGCGGGCTGCCTGGGGGGGACGCCCTCACAGGGCTGCCCCAGAGATCAGGGTCCGGTGGACATGCCGTGCCGGCCTCTGGCCGTCCCAGGCCCGGCTACGGGGCGCCCCCGGCAGACCCCCACAACCCCGCCGGAGCGCAGGAGTCCTGGCGTCCCCAGCTCCTGGTGAAACCTGTTCACACACCAACACAAACCGCAGCTTCTCACGGGAGGCCACGCGCCCACCGGTTCCGGAGGCGGCCGTGGGTCCCAGCGGGAGCTGCGGAAACCGAGGCATGGGCTCCCACACGGCTGGGGCTGCGTGCCACCGGGGACCGCGTGTCGTCCTGCGAACCCCTTCGCTGTGACCAGGCCGCGGGGAAGAGAAGCCAGAGGGTTTTTCGTGTGGTTTCATTCTTTACTGATTTCTTTAGTTTACCAAATTTGGGGATCCAGTAAAATGGCAGCTTTTCCCTTCCATTAACCATCTGCTCTCTGACGGAATACTCTGAGTACAAGTGAGGCGAGTGTCAGGTCCTGAGCGGGGGAGCTGGGGTGCCTGCGAGGGGCTGTCTCCACCCTGGGCACCGCACAGGGGCGAGGAGAGCAGGAGGTAGGGATGAGCCCCACGCCGGAGCTGCGGCTTCACACAAAGGATGTGCACGCCTCGGCCCTGCCCCCATCGGGATTCTGGGCCCGGCACAGCCCAGGTCCCCCCCCTCCCGCCACCCCCGCGTCAGTCAAGCTCTCCTTCGTGTCAGAGAGGTGAGTGTGGGTACGCGTGTGTGCATGTGTGTGTGTAAGAGAAAGAAACCAAAAGGGCAACCGGGAAGGCTGGAGGGCAGGCGGAGCCACCCGGCAGCCCCAGGTCCCCCCCAGCCCCCCAGTGTCAAATCTCCTTCGAGCCAGCTGTCTCTGACACTCCTGACCACCTGCAAAAGACAAAGCACTATGGGCCCGTTTTACGAACGAGGACACTGGGGCCGAGAGACCAAGGAACCCACAAGAGGCAGCAAGTGAAACCCAGCTGAAGGCTCCGTGGTGCACCCAGCCCAGGGGTGGCGGGGGGGGGGGGCGTGAGTCCGAGCCCACGGCTGGAGCAGCTTCCTCCCCAGCTGACTCCGTGCCCCAAGCCGCACCCGGGGCTTCTCAGCTCCCCTCCTGCCCTCCATCCGGCCCCACAGCTCCTCCTCCTGCCCAGAGACGGAGAGCAGGACACAGCTGCCGCCCCCAGTCACCCAGTGCCAGCCCCGAGCTCCTGCTGAGCCCCTCGTGCGTGCTGGCGACGGGCCGGGGCCGAAACGCAGGGCGGGACATCCGTCTCGGGGCCTCCCTCCCCAGACTCCATGTCGCTCTGCGGTGGTCAGCCCGCAAGGAGGCTTCAGAAGCCACCACCTGCCTATCCTCTCCTTTCCCTTCATGACGAGACCACCTTCCTGCTCTCCTGTGCCACTCGGCCATGTGGCAGGGTGCTGGCCGTGCCACAGCCACCACGGCCCGCCAGGCGGCCTCCAGATGGCCTGGGCAGCAGGGAGAACACAGCCTGTGCCGCGCGCGCTCAGGGCCCGTGACCGCCCACCCTGCGTCAGGCCTGGGGACACGGCGGACGGACGCCAGGAGCTCCGTGCACAGACACAAAGGCTTCGGCGCGGTTCTCACCGACGCCAGCACGGGCAGGCCCAGGACACCCTGAAAGCCACGTGTGTATGTGCGACGACACCGAGGAAACACAGGGACGGCTGGACGGCCCGGGCGACCTGCCTGCGGGAGGCCCTCGTGACCACGGGACCACCACTAGGAGCCCCGGAGGGACAGGTGCTCTCTCCAGTGCCGCCCACGCCCCGTGCGGTGGACGCGCTCACCCTCGCACAAGGAGGGCACCGTGAGGCCCGCACTCACCCAGCTCTCCTTCCAGAGCCCACGTCCTCCCCCAGTCCACATGCCACGGGCAGAGCCCCTTCCCCCAGAGTCAGCAGAGGCCTTTACGTAAATAAATACGTGGATACGTGAATATAAAATAAAAGACCCAAAAAATCCGCTGACAAGCACTACTGGTCCAAGGTGGCAATTACCACCCCCCCTTCCCGATGTGGGCGGGAGGAAGCGAGCAGTGCCAGGAGGGGCTGGCACGCAGCCGAGCCACGGCGTCTGGCCCAGCGCCTGCCGGCACGCTCTCCGGGCCTTGGCGTCCTCATCTGCAGAACGGGACGACGACCCCACACCCCCCGGTGCCCGCCACACAGCAGCGCCCCCCACAGGAGCGACCCTGTGGGGCCCCCCTGCTGCCTGCCGGCGCCTTGGCCCAGGTGGCAAGGCCCTGGGGAGTTCCCCAGATCCCCCAGCCCAGGGTCTACCCCCACGGCACGGGGCTGACACCCCACCCCGGGGTCAGGACGGGAAACCTCACTGCCGTCCACAGGCGCACAAGGAAAGGAGGTGAGCGCAAGCAGGCTTCGGGACACAGACGCGGGTTCCTGCGTGGAAGCCACGGTGTCGCCCCCAGACGGGAGCGTGTGCACCGCCTCCCCCCCCCCCCGCCCCCCCCCCAGGCCGTCCCAGATCAGCAGCAGCGGGAGGCTCCACAGGGCCTGGTGCTTCCCAGGGACATGCGACAATCCCCCGAGGTGACAGCTGCCCCGGGGCCCCCTCACTGTGCAGCCGGGAACAGGACACAGGAACCCTCACTGCATCTGCCCCCGGAGAAGGCACTGGAAGACCACAGTGCTCCTATACAAGGATCCCTACAGACCCACTAACGGAAGCAGTCAGACACGCCCGTGACAGACGTGCCACAGGGCACCATGTGACCTCCCCCGGAGTCTGGGGCTCCGCGGAAGCAGCACGAAAGCTGGGAGCAAAGGGCGTCTGCGTGCCTCGCCTCCCCAGGTGCCCTCGCCTCCCGGGGTACGGCCCACCCACGCCTCCCCAGGTACGGGCCGCACTCCCTGAGCGGCTCGTGTCAAGACAGGGCAGCAAGAAATGGCTTGAACGCCTGACCTCGTGCAAGGATCAGAAAGTGTCCCTTTATTCTCCTCACAAAGACCCGATTTGGGGATTAGGGATTTGCTGGCAAGACGCTGGGGCCGGCGTGGAGGGGACAGCCCTGTGATGGTTTTCCAGCTCAGGAGGCGGCCAACAAAGAGGGCTTTCTCCTCCCTCCAAGGCCGACGGGTTGGGTCCCACTCTGTACGGAAGAGACCCACAAACCAACGTGACTGCCGGACCTCGGGGCTGTGAGTGGTTTCCCGTGAGAAGAAGCAAGGCCTGCGGCGCCTTCAGGGAGGCGGGGAGGAGGCACACCAGGGTCCCAGGGTTCCCGGGGGCTCTGGGAAACGGGCCACTTTCTCGCGCACTCCGACCCTGGGCTCCGCGCAGGAACACCCGTGACCCGTGGGAGGGCAGGGGTCAGGGTGTGCGCCGGTCCCAGGCCTGGGAAAACTGCTTCTGTTTCGCAGCCCAAGCCTGGTCGTCAATTTCTCCACAGAGTGAATGACTGTTTGTGAGCTAACGGAAGTTTCTGGAGACTTGTCAAAGCCCAGAACGTCGGAACTGGCAGGGCTGTAGCAACCCTTCCCCCAACAGCCACACGAAATAACAGAGCTGGGGCCCTCCCGCCCTGGGCCCAGCGGGGCGGTGAGGCAGGATTTCTGGGGAGCACAGGAAGGTGAGGCGTGCTCTTCCCGCCGCGGCCGCGGCCACGCGCACCTCTGCCGGAAATCCGTGCCGAGCCGGCCAACGGCAGCACAGACCACGGACGGTGCCCCGTGAGGGGCGGGAGCCAGCCCACACACACCGCCTGGGCCTCACCTGGCCTGAGACTGGCCCACGTGGCCGCCGGCCACGGCCCAGAGGGCGGACACTCAGCTCAGATGGGAGAAGGGGGCCGCTGGGCACCCGTCACTCCCGCCAGGACGGCCGCCAGCAGCCACGCAGTCTGCGGCATCGGGGCAGCAACGGTGCCCGCGTCGAACGGGGGACGATTGGCATCGCGTCGTTTCCAGTCTGCAGAACTCCTGGAAATAACCTGATCTTTCACAATTTCTCAGAAGCACTGCTGACCCTTCCCTTCCTTTTCTAAAAATTCTGCTGAAACACAGCACATCTACGTACAGTCCGATGCCCGAATCAGAAGCGTGCGGGTCTGAATTCTTAGATGGGAGAGACCGCGAGCACTGCCAGCGTCCCAGCACCCCAGAAGGGCCGCTCCAGCCCCCCAGTCATTCGGCTGCCCCCAGCCAAGGAAAACACCGTCTGGCTTCTAACACTGCCCACCACTTTGGCCTGCTTTTGATCTCCGTCCTCCTTGGTTTCAGGCTTCTTTGGCTCGCCATCCTGTCCGAGGTCACGCCGGGGGGCCTGGCTGGCGACAGGCTTCTGCGCGTGAATTCCGCACTGAAGATCTCGCCGTTCCGCTGAAGGCTGGCTCCCTTCCCAGGAGTCTGCTGTCTCATGTCCAGCTGCCACGGGCACTCTTCAGTGTGACCTCTGGTGGGCACACGTGTGCATCTCCCCCGGCTCTGTGCTTGGGGTGGAATGGCGAGGTCACGGGAAAGAAAATGCGTGACTCCAGTGAACCTTTCGGCGTCCCAGAGTGGCGGTGCCGCTCCGCACTTCCAGTGGGAGGACACGAGGCTGCCGGCCGCCCCGCATCCTCACCAGACTGGGTGTTTTCCTGCGTGTCTGACTGTTCTTAGTTACTCTGGTGGTACAGGGCGACGTGTGGTGACAGCACCGTGGGGTCACTTTCCCTCTTCTGATGGCAGATGCTGAGCACACGTGTCCCCACCTGCCATTTGGATGTCCCCTTCTGTGATGTGCC